ACAGTCGATACCGTCCGAGTGACGTGCAGCGCGTTGGCGCAGGTGCTGGTGAGGCTGGACGAGTACGTGAAGTCGTACAACGAGGTGGTGCGCGGCGCCGCCATGGACCTGGTGTTCTTCCACGACGCGCTCATGCACCTCATGATCATCTCGCGCATCGTGCGCACGCCGCGCGGCAACGCGCTGCTGGTGGGCGTGGGCGGCTCGGGCAAGCAGTCGCTCACGCGCCTCGCCTCGCACATCGCCGGCTACTCCTTCTTCCAGATCTCGCTCACGCGCTCCTACAACGTCAGCAACTTCCTCGAGGACCTCAAGTACTTGTACAGGTGCGTTGCTTCACGCCTGGGGAGCCCGGCGCTCCTACGAGCAGGGACAACGTCCCCCACAAAGGGATGGACAAGCGCAATCTGAAGCGGCGCGCGGCGGCCAATAGTTTCTAAGCGAAAATTTGATTTGTTTGATCAAACAACAGGGGTTTGAGTCATGATTATATTCTCCACTATTTATTACTATTCCAAGTTTATTTTCTTTTTAAATTCCGCATTTTAAAAACATTTTTAACGAGGGGCAGGAATATGTTTGAATGGCCAATTCTTTACTTGTTTTCGTTTTGTTTCGTATTTTTAAATCATTCAGTTAATTATTGTATTTATCAATAGTGTGTAATAAATTAAAATAAACGGACATAGAAAATAACGATGGATTTGTCATGAAACATACCAAATAAAAAGTAATCAATCTTGTCGATGAATGTACAGCGTATTTTTACAGAAAAAGGCTTAAAGATAAAATATTGGTAAAGCACAGGTCAACAGAAAAATAATATGAGCACATAATAGAATGTATTCACCAAGCCTCAGGCGAGGCTTTAAAAAGAGTACAAATTTTGCCTGAGTTTTGGTTGGGTTGACGACTAAAACGGCGAAATAGAGGGCCTGATGGCTCGAGCGTTGCCTTGTTTAATAAAGCCTTTTTCGCAGGAATAAGCCGACTTCGACTATGCATGCACCATGCATTTACCGGGGTTTAATACCATTATCTCGGTAGCAGGCGAATGTAATTTTATCTCTGGATCAGTATTTAGCTGGGTCCGATTTTTATCCCCTAAGGTTGTTAGGCTGGGGGATATGGAAGATTTAATGATAATGAGGAGTGAAAGGATGATACACATAAACAAGCCTTACCCAAGTACACCCATGCCCGAGGCGGGAATCAAACCCGATATCTTCTGGTTCCAGACCGCTACCGCCCTACTGCCTTAGTGATCTCGGGCATCTGATCGGCAAATAAAGCCCTATATTATTATTATTATTATTATTATTATTATTATTATTATTATTATTATTATTATTATTATTATTATTATTATTATTATTATTGTTTTCTAGGGTGGCTGGCAAAGACGGGAAAGGTATATCCTTTATTTTTACCGACAACGACGTAAAGGATGAAGCTTTCCTTGAGTTTCTCAATAACGTTTTGAGCGCCGGTGAGGTGGCCAATCTGTTCGCCAAGGACGAGACAGATGAGATCATGGCTGAGTTGATCCCAGTAATGAAGAAATCGAAGACAAAAAAGCCAATCACGCCCGATAACTTGTACGAGTTCTTCATCACACGTTCACGCAACAATTTGCATGTGGTAAGCAACTAGAATGATTAATAAATCAATTTCTTCGTCTTTTTTTAAATATAAACAATAAGGCATTTTTCATCACTGTACTTACAAATTAAATGAACTGATTACAGAAAAAATTAAAAAACAAAAACTCAATTTAAAAACTTGGAATTGTTTTCAAATGTAGACATTGCCCTTTTGGTAATTTTTATTACTTACATATGCAATACTAACA